TAAACTACAAACCTTTAGAAAAATTGCTTTCACAAAATTTATTTCCAAAAAATTTACCTCAAGCAACATGATTTTCAAAAGCTTCTTTTTTTATCAATCCTTCTTGTTGTACAGATACAAAACCCTTATCAAACATGTGAGTAAAAAATTGGAAAAAAAAAAAATACTCATCCCACCCAGCGCCATGTGAGTATTCTGTAATGGTTTTGTGAGGTGTGAATCATTAGTCTGTACACACAAACTTATTGTTTTTTATTGTCTTGTCCTAATATATTAACCTTGTGTATTAGGTTATGTCTTGTCCATGAAAGTACATTATCTCTTACTCTTAGATTATTTGCTTGTTTTCCTTGTTGGGATAATAATAATAATAGTAGCAGCAGGTGGATAGGAGAGTAATAGTTGCATATCTTAAAAAATATGTGACTAAAATTAATATTTAACTTTGATAAATTATTATGAATTTATACTATTTCCCAAAAATTATTCTGACTTATATAGCGGCTTATGTCAGAATTTTTTAATCAAAAGAGAAAATTTGGTGGCTCCTGCAAAATTCCAATTTATTTCGTTGAAGCAGGTTGTGTAAAATTAGCAATACTGCTAGTGTACCTGGATGCTCTCATTGTCAATGGAGAAGATAATGTCAAAATCTAACTAACAAGAAAAAGGGAATTTGTTACTGAGATTCAAATGAAAGAGTTTGAAGAGTTAAATTGTTTTCAGGGCTCAAAATGCAAAGAACAAGAGATTCACTGTTTCTACGCCAACAAAGTATGACAAAGATCTAAGAAAGTTTGGGACGATCGAGTTTGAACCTATATCAAACACGATGAGATTAAATTCAAGCTATGCGTTGAAGAAGGCAAAAACTTGGAATATGCAATCATGTATTGACAACTATCGTTGAGAAAACTCGATACTGTGTACGAAGTTGGGATAGCAAGTCCGTTTATATAAAAGTTGAAAGAGCGCAAAAAGTGGCGTGCAAAGTAAAAATTACAAATAAAACTACAGCGAAATTATTTTTTTGATACCATTTAGTGCTATTTGTATAAATTTTCCCTTGAACAAAGGATGGACTATTTCCCACATTTTCCGCACTAGGCTTAAGATTCCAGAAACTGGGGCAAATGGACCACCTCGTATCAAGGGCTAGCTCCCATCTTTGTTCTTAAGCCCATGTAAATTTCAATGGCTGTCCATTTCACCATCCACAAATGATGCAAGGGAATGTCTACGTACAATCACTTATCAAACGTATACTTTTACCAGTTTGAAACATTATTTACTTATAATATTTGTGAATAATGCTATTCGCAGTGAAAACTACCGACAGTCATTCTATGTGACGTACACTTAGCAGTTTTTCATTTGATGTATAATTCAAAAAATAACTACCATATCTATGTATCGAATACCAAATTGCCAAATGTATGTCACATAGGACGACTACTGACAGTCTTCACTACGAATATCATTACTCAATATTTGTGGATCTCCGATCGAGGCAATCCAAATCAGCCATCGCAAGAACGAAAGAGACTGAGTGTGTGCACAAGTAAAAAATCGCTGAAACTATTAAGTTCGATGAAGAACTAAAATGAACAGCTAAAAGACAATTACATAGAAGACACCTCTATTAAAAGTTTCCCGACTGTACACACGAAATGTTGAGGACAAACTTGCTTCTTTTACATTCCCTGACTTAGTACACGATTCACTTCATCATTTCTTGTCATAGCAAAATCAACACGGATACATATATCACAAAATAAGTAACTAAAAGGAAAAATGGAATTCATCGACTACAAAGAAGTATGATTATGTCATTTATTTCATTCATTTAGGTACATATAACAGAAAAGGAGTTAAATTTAAGCTGGTACAGACCAACAATCAATTATTCTTTGCTTAGATAAACCTTTTGACCACAGTAACTTTCAGTTCAATTATCAAGAACTAAATCATCCTCAGTGTGCCTGCCAATACAAGTAAAGGCTTCTCATGACTAGTTTGGCTTGACATGCTTCAGTAGTTTACAAGTAAAATCAGTGGACAGAGAGAAGAAAACTAAAATAACCAAGATCTATCTCTTATCTCTGTAGGGTATCATCAGTCAAACTATCGGTAGATCTGTCGCTGGTAAGAGTTGGCTCATCAATCTTTTTACACACGTAAATATAGTGGGAATCAGGATCTTCCAAAGTATAATCTGCTGGGAGTTGACCTTTCTCCGTCATAGGAATGGGTTCCAAGTATGACTTTGGAGTGGAACCAGCAGGCTTTTGAAATCCAGGTCTGGCTGCAGAATCGGAAGGAAAAATAATAATTTTGTTAACACCGTCTCTTTTTAGCAATTACCAAACAATATCTTAGTAAAAATGGAGAAACTGCTAGCACTTATTTTCTGGTGCACAAACAACAAAATTAAAAATTTTTGTTTAAAACAGGTCAGCTTAAAATTTTGAATACAATACAAGTCATCTTCACAGGAGAAAAAATTCTGAATTGAAGCAGCTGTGTTCGATTACGTAGAGTAATAAGACAGGTATCTAGGTTAGAAAGGCAGAGAAAGAATTCATAATCTACTGATTGGAGCAGAGGTTGTGAGAGAGCAGACCACAATGCCCTGCCATAGTCACGAGTCTCTTTATTCATGATTCTAGTTATAGTTTCGAATAGGACAATCATCGCATTGACTTGACTGTGTGCTAAACGACTCAGGCAAATGAGTAGAGTATCGGGGAGCACTTAAGAGAGCCATGTTGAAAGAACACGGCTCTCTGGTCAAAGTACGGTAGAGAACATACCATATATGAAACGCGTCTGATGGTAAAAGAGTAACACTCATTACTTCCAGGAAAAGGACTGATTAAACATGTTAGCGAATCCTTCCTTTCATAAGATCAGTCCACAAAAGTGAACTTGGATTAGTGGAGGTGCAGCAAGACTTACAATTTCTAACTCACAACTGAACATAATCCAGCCACAAAGAATCAGCTAAGGTTGGAGCATCCCACTAAATTAACACAAAAAAAATTATTGGATAGAAAGTAAGCTACAAGTTGTCCAAACACTGAACTTTAGACTAAGTCTATATTTTGCGCTAGCAGAAAGCCTCCAACAATATGTTGCCAAATTAAAAAAGATCTAAGGAGGGATTCAAGAATTTTGAAGTACAAAAGTAGAGCAAGATTGTCCGGACGTCATCCATTTAGTTTGAAATGGTATACTTCATTTCAGATTCTTTCAGAAAAATAAACTGTAGTGAAAAAGGAGCAGTTCAATTTATGAGCTTCCAGACATTTTTCCTTTTTATTTTTTTGATCAGTAACTTCCAGACATTTTTCCGTCCTACTAAAACATCCCGAAATGGATCGAAAGGATCTCAGCTTATTTCTCTTTCAGAACACTGGCACAAATCTATTCTAAACAGTCTTCCCTAATCTCACAGTAAAATACATATTAATTTAGACCATCTATTGACAGTAGACACCAAAAACAAATAAAACTCTTCCATGATCATGAAGTTACCCCTGTACTTTCAAGAATAATCTACACTCTTGAATAGCACCAATAACTCTCCTAAAATCGCCTTCATCTAAATCTTGCCTCATGCAGTTGCTCTACAGACATTCAATACCATCTCTTCTCTTTTTTAATAAGGAAAAAACATTTTCCTTCTTCCAACTGAACCTTCAAGCAGACGTATCATATGTCCAAATTCCCTCCCTTCTCTCCATACTTCATAAAACGATGTGAGCTCTGTTTTCTCTCTTCCTCAAAATAGGACAGGCATCAGGAGGCTCATAGGTTGATTCTGTACATCTTTCTTCCCTTGTTTGTTAAAGTAGATATTTTGGTTGTTTAATGCTAAATGTATATAAAGCAATTTAGATGAATAATCAGTGAACAAAATTAGACAAAAATGTACATGTACATGCCTCTAACTCCATGGATCTCATGTTGTGCTTTTCAACAAGACTAAGTTGAATTTGAAGCCATCATTTTTCCTCAGCAACATGTGAGCAGAGTGCCTATCCACATTATAGCAACTAAGAATACTTTATTGTCAGCAAAACAAGCAGTATATAGTTCCAGCATCTATATCTCTGCTCAACCTAGGTTGTGTAAACTATAAATAGAGAACAAGGAATCACATCTTCGTCACATTACATGTCCACATGGAGCATTCTTCTACCCCTGTCAATATATCTATGTGTATGTATACCCAATGTATCTGTGCATATTTATACACTTTCAATTATAAAGCATTCACACAAAAGATAATTATGGTTATAGTCATTTAAATTTCATTCTTGAGTTTGTAGTTTCATCAGAACTAGAACTTTAGAGGGACACAGGCAGCACAAGGATACATTTTTATTTTTAATTCCATTATGTCATAGAATTTCCTTCTCAAATGCTCATCACATGACAACACAACAATTTTCTTATCGTACGACCAAACCTACGTAAGTGACATCTACATCACAGTACCATGGTTGTTCCCAAAGTACATGACAATTATCCATCTCTACTACTTTACATACAATCTCATCTTTGTAGTTCTTCTAAATAGAAAGAAAAATTTTGCATTCCTCCATATTTTGAATTTCTTGCCCCTTTTAACTAGTGATACCTAATAGCAAGATGAGTTTTTTAACTCTTCAAATTTAAAGCTTTCACCAATGCTTTGGATTCTATCTTCTCACTATTCCTATGGTCTATTATCAAATCCATGCTTTGTTGTTAATAGGACATCATGTTCTAAAAATATTGTCATGCTTAAAATTGGGCTCCTTTTTATCTCCCCAGTAGATCTTCGCAGAATCCTAGATAGCTTATGAGTATTCAAACTTAGATAGGACTCAAGGAAATTCTCTTATCACATGTTGCTGTGTTCTAGACTTGTTAAAGTAACCAACATTCATAGCAATCAAAATCTGCAAATTCTTGTCATTTGCGTCTCCAAGCATGTCCATCCTTTATTCTAGATTTCAGACCAAAGTTGGTAATTTTACAATCCTTCGATCATTGTGAGAATGTGTACCACTATCACCAAAGGTAACCATGAGTCAAGAGCAAACCTTGCTCTGATATCAATTTTGGTGTGGAAGCTAAATTAAAATTCTTGAAACAAGAATAAAGTTGAAAAACTCAAAAATGTATAGAGAATAATTTGATTATAATGAATTGATACATTGAAAAATATACAAAGCCTTTATTTTTATAGGCAAAAAGTTCTCTAAACCTTACTGATATAAGGAAACTAAACTAAAATATTGAAAGGAAGAAAAATTAAAATCCTGAAAAGAAACAAAATAATAATCTAAAAAAAGAAGAGATCCTAATATAATCAAGAAAGAAGAATAAGTCATATTCTAAGCCCCTGTTTGACATCCATTAAATCAAAACTCTTTTTTCTCAAACTTTTTTTCAACCACACATTCATACAATAAATATTTTACACATAAATTCGAAACTTTTATTCTAAAAAATTATCACTGTTCCAGAAATCATTTTCTCAAAAAAAAAAAAAAAAAAAAAAAAAAAGAAAAAAAGAGGAGAGAGAGAGAGAGAGAAAAGCTCATTATAACGTACGTTAAACAGGGGCTAAATAAGAAAGAAGAAGAAAAAGAGATAAAACCCTACTACAATTAGAAATCCAATTTGGAATAGAATTGTCATACATCACCTTTGTCAACCTACATACATATCATCAAATTCACATAAGTGATTTTTTCTATTGAGAACAAGAGACGATACTTTGCAGCAATAAAATTGAAAGAACATTTTCTTTTTCAGATATTCTAAAAGTCGAAATAAGAATATTGAATGGCTATGGTGAACTCAGTAATTCTTGTTCTCCCATAAATTCTAATTAAGGCCCTGTTTAAGCCCCATTTTTACCTCAATAAAATGAAAAATATGACCGTTATCCATCACATCAAGCCACCATTTTTGAATTTTTATCTCTTGTGTGGGGCCCATAACGGCTCTATTTTTCATTCTCATTCTACAAATAATGTGGCTCAAACGGGCTCTAAGTTAATTTATATTTTAGCATTCTGTGAATTTGCACAATGTCCATATTTATTAAGTTCTTGTTTCCTATAAACAGAAAAAGATAGCAAAGGAAATAAAATCGTAGAAGAAGTTAATAATAACATTTGCTGAGATATTTATGAATTATGCTAAGAATTGAAAAAAGGTCTTGTTACTAAGCAAATTAGCACCATTCACATCTGAAGGGTATCATACTATCATAAAGAGGCAAAACCTTGCTAAGGGAGTTGGGCAGAATCTTATACACTGTAATTAGGACATAATGAATAGACTAACATGCAGATTCTGCATATCCCAGAATCTAACTCTAATTTTTCACATACTCCTATCACAACATAAACTCAATCCAAGCAAGCACTTCATACTTATAGATGCTTGATATGGAAAATGTTACAACACCTTTTTTTAATGGGAGAGAATCCAAAATATCTTGAAATCTAAAATGCAACAGAATGAACTTCCATGACAAGCAAAAAGAACTTACGTATAATGTATAATTCAATTTTCCAATTGTAAACTGGTTGATTTATATGGGGCATCCGCACAGTAGGATCACCATATGTTATCTGCAAACAGCCAAGAAGACAAGAAAATTTTATTTCAGCTTACAAGAAGGGTAAGAAGGGCAAAAGAACATTTCCGTGCATAAATTTACCAGCATGTATACTCCTCCAGGTTTAAGAAGCCTACAAGTGGAAAATTATCATAATTTGTATCATTGAAAACAGTAACTATAAGCAAAAAAGTAGATTCTAAACAATTACAGCAAATATAGCACATCTCAATTCCATAACAAATTAGTATTATTAACAACAATAAAATATTACTGTGCCAGCAACCTGCTTACTTCCCCCAACATTTGAGCAGCATTAATTGGAGCACTGGTCCCACACTTCAAACCATGAGCATATAAAAAGAAAGAACAAAGAAGAAAAGGAATTAGAACATATCAAAGAAGAAAATCTACTAAGGAGGCAAAGTCAAAATATAACTCACCATCAATGAATCAAGAGTCCCTATTATGCAAAGCAGCAGGTTCATGAAAAACATAAAAGGTAAAATATTTATTGCCTCTTTACATTACAATATACCAACTACAAATTACAAAGAAACTAAATAGGGCAGCCATTTACCTTTATCTATGACACTATCAAATGATTCATCAGGAAAGAAACTCATATCTTTAACATCCATTTGCATGTCTTTTGAATTACATAAGGGAATATTTCAATAAAATAATTGATATTTGGAATGGAAAAGGAAAAGGAAAAGGAAAAGGAAAAAGCCCTACTTGAACCTGAATTCTCAATAAAAACATTCAAATATGCTTTTAATAAGGGCGTCAATAATTAAACTAGAGTTTTTTTAACATCGACGCCCTTGTCAAAGAAACAAAAATCATATTATGCAATGTGATCAACAAGTTAGTTTACAGTATTTTTTATGTCATTTTACCAAAAATAAACAGAAAAAACACTTCTAAGATCTGAATAGGCAAAAGCATTTAATGTTTCCTAAATCAACATTTGGACCAACGTCAAGAAGACTAAAAAATTGACAAATGATCCAACAAATACCCCTGAAAATCTAATAAAGAATCCTAATGAGGATACATTTCAACTGAGGGATATTCTCATACTTCTTTCTCATCATGTCAATAGCCACTGACGATATGTCAATGTTCACAATATCTTCAAAACCATCCTTAACCATATCCTCTGATATAACTGCAAAGCAAAATCATCTCCCATCAGCAATGTCTTAAAACCAAAATGAAAGTCTTGCATATTCAAATAGAACACATGATTCATGACAAACGGCTGAATCTACACCAAGAGTGAAGATAAAGAAGCTGTTATAGTACCAATATTTGCCAATAATGGGAAATAATGAATATGACAAGTATGAGACTATAAAAGCAATCTCCATGTTTGACATAAAGAACATTACAATTAAGCCTTAATCCAAAACCCCAGTAGGCAAGAAATCACTGAATTCCAATTAATAAAGTCTAAAGTTAATTGGGTCACCAGAAAAATTAGAAGAGTTGCCCCAAATCTTCAATTAAAGCTTTTCTCAAAATCTATTTCCCTTTTAACAAAATTTAATTCATATGCCAAAAAGAAAAGAAAAAGGAAAAAAACTACAAAGTTACGCCACTTCAATTGTTAAAAAGGAAAAAGATAAAATTGTGGAAAGCTTCTGTGTGTGTGTGTGTGTGTGTGTATGTATATATATATATATATATTCCTCAAAATAATGAGAAATTCAATATGTACTACTCAAGTTTTTCCGCACATTGAAATTGGAAATGAGGCAAAGAGTTGTGGGGAAACTGAAAAGTACCAGCATTGCCACAGCCCACCATCAGAACACGGGAAGTAGGAGAGATGTATTTACGAACAAAAGGGCGGAGCGCAGAATACCGTTGGTACCAATCGAAAGAACCACAGTTGGCATCTTGGATGTAACGGGCGTCCCAGTAGAGGGCGTCGCCATAGTTGTATGTATTGCATGCCGACACGTCCCTGAACATAGCTCCTCCGCCGTCTGGGTGGTGGTTGGATTCTGCTGTGCGGGTGTGGGGTTTATATCGGAAGTGGGAATTTTTGTGGGGGAGTAGAAGTAAAGTCTGCGCTTGTCTAGTTGTAGAGTCTGAGATATCAAGGCATGTACAACTCTGCGAGCACGGTGTACTATTTTAGACATTATTAACATTGACGGTTTCACTTGAGTTTCTTAATTAAGGGATGTTCGCAAAAATAGAAGGGCCTGTTAATCGATGGAGGAGTTAAATATTTCTAACTGAATTTATACTCTCATCATACTTTACTCGTTGAATTTTAAAATATTTCACAACGATAAACGAACATTAACTTATTGCACTCAACCACACTTATTATGTCTTTAATAACTGAATTTTTAAAATACATTCGAGTGATACATTTAACACGTTTCACTCCATTAATTACTTATCATGTTTAGTTACTTGCAAAATTTATATGTTAGTCACGTTTAACTCACTTAATTTTAAAACACATCCTAGTAGTCACTAAATTTTACTAATTGAATTTCACTTTTCAAAATTTTGAAATATAAAACATCATACACGAAGGCGGAGCCATTTTTCCTCTTGAATTACCTTGTGATAACTCTAAAAATAATATTTTGTTAGTCTTGATTAATATTATTGACTCTAAATTCAAAATTTTATTGCATGTTTGAAATATAATTTTTTTTTCTTGATTTGGATCTACGATCTCAATCGAAATAAAGAAATAATTTATGTATTTTACTTTATCGATGTAAAGAAAGATTATGGTTTAAATTAAAAAGTGAGCAACTCTACACATACAGAAAAATGCTTACAAAATTGGACCAGAAGCCAAGTATCAACAATCTGACAAAAAATGAAAAAAATAAAATAAAAAACAGACAGATAAAAGCAGATTCTGCCACACCTATATTCTGTAGCAGTTCTGTGAAACTGCTCTATATAAGCAGTTTAAACCTTAAAAATTATAGAAACTGACATTCTTCTTTCCTCTTAAATGCAGCTTTCAAGAAAAGAGAGATTATATTGTCTTAATCAATATCAATATTCACATCTTAAGTTGAGGATTTTTCCATTGATATTTATTTTATTTTCTTGATCTAGGTTGAATCTCATAGAAAATTAACTTTACTTAAAAACATTATGAAGTTCAGTGACCATTTGGAAGCATTTTAAAATTTAGTGAGTAAAGCATGACAGATGTATAAGTTCGGTGACTAATGAAATATGGCAAGTGATGTGGTGCAACAAGTTAAAGTTCAATAACTACTTTGAAGCGTTTCAAAATTCAGAAGCTTATGAAATATAATAAGTGAGTTGTAACGCTCCAATTTTCTATAAACTCCGGAACGTTACGAAAAAATCGTTTTTCATTATTTTAAGTGCAGAACTATAAAAATAAATTTTTTTATTAAACAAATAACTACAACATTTATAAATCTAAATTTAAAATATGAAAATTTTATCTAAACATAACATAAACTCTTAACTAATTCAAATAACACGTTCGGAACAAAATTAAACTAATTAGTAAATTTAAAGACGGCAAACTCATTTATTTTTTTTCATTTGATCCACTTGGTAGCCCTCATCACTGTCCTTCCACAATTACGATCGACCCAAACTAACCTGCGAAAATTTGTAGGAGTGAGTATTCGAAAACACCTAATAAGATATGTGCAGTTTCCATATACATATATATAACAATAAAAATTACAATTCATACAATCTGATCTTATGGAGTATATAGGTGACCAAACGACACACCCATCTTAGGTCCTCTTGTAATCCCGCAAGATTTCATATTTCTTTAAAAAAAAAAATGTCCACTAGCAATCCATACATTTTTTATTGGACATAAACGCATAAGGAAACAAAAACACTTGCACTTAAAGTATCTTACATTGTTAGAAAATTCTGAAGCATGTTCAAAATCTTTTCTCCGCTTTGAAAAATACGTGATTAAAATATTCAATGTATGCAAACTTCATTTCCAATACTACCTTCTCTCTCTCCCTCCTTTCTTCTCCGTCTTCCTCTCTCTCTCTCTCTACCTACCATATGTGTGAATTGGTAAAAGTAAAACTTTTCATCATGCCTATATATATATATATATATATATAGGTGTAGGCTAGAGTAGATAAATCAAAATTTGATTTGATAAGGCCAAATCTTGCAACTAATATCTACTCACAATGTACTTTATTATTATCTTATTCAATTACAAGATATCCACTATCTCTATTCAACCGTACATGGGTGTATAATGAATTTTGTTGTAACTAGAATAATGAAAACATGTGTCATCCTAGAAATCTCTAAATCAAAACTAACAAATAATGATAAAAATCTCATCTCACACGTTTTCTTTTTGGAGAGAGAAAAAAATAAATTGATTTATAATCTATATAAAATTACATTATACCATTTTTTTTTTCAATTGGGTCTAACTTAATTTATCATTATCCAAAATAGCTTTTTCTCGAGTCAAAAACTTCTAATTAATTACGAGCTATCCAACAAGTACAATATTTATATACTTATAATTGTTCTATCAAAATCTAATTTCTTTGATCCAGATAAAATATGAATTTATATAATATACAAAATAAATAAATTTTTATCTATAAAATTTTTGGGTTGCTACAATCTACCGTCCTTAAGAGAATTTTGTCCTCGAAATTTACTTGCATTAGGATCTTCCGTGGCCTGTCCTTGGGCTAAAGTAAAAACTCTGGCATTTCCTTTCCTTTCTGGCTCGTCATTCTTTTTCGAAAGGTCCTCTTTGTAGTTTTTGGAAATATGTCTGGTTTTACCGCATCTATAGCACACATGCTTCCCATACAAACATTTATCTCTATGCATTTTCTTGCACTTTGGACAAGGTGGAACGACTTGTCCAAAACCTGGTCCGAAGTTAGCCTTCTTGTTAGGTCCTTCTCCTTTCTCTTCGTTGGACCCATTCCATTTTCTCTTTCCTGAAGACTCGGCCCTTTGTTGAGGAGTTTGGTCAATTTTCAACCTATTTGAGATTGTTTGGGCAATCTGCAATACTCGGCTATAGGTGGTGAATTGGTGGGATGCTAGTATTCCACCAATCTCAGGACGCAATCCAAGTTCGAACCTTTTTGCGTTCTTTGCTTCAGTGTCCACTAGGCGTGGTGCATACCTTGATAGTTGTTCGAATTTTCTCTCATAATCCTCGGGCTTCATTTTTCCTTATTTAAGTTAAAGGAATTCTGTAGGAACCCCAAAAAAAAAAAAAAGAAGAAGTTAGGCTATTATTATTATTTTTTTTTTTGACGATCTAGCACCACGAGCCTAGACCATGGACGAACCTTATGCTCGACATGTTTTCTAAGTAGGACGGAATTTAATATTGACCATATGGTAAAATTTTATTAATGACTAGATTCGTGTATACGTTATTTTTTCAAATGATCGAACTTTAAATAAAATATGGTCTATAAATTTCTAAATGGGAATCTATGTTATTCATTAATTTTGTTACTTTAATATGTTGTAGAGACCAACAATATAT